TACGGGGTTGGTTTATTACCCGCAATGATCCCCAGTAGCGGTTTATGATCAGTAATTATCGTAAACGCACGGCCATAAACATATTCATGAAATCTTTTAACTGCAGCCACAATAGCTAAAGCTTCCTTGTCCAGCTGACTATAATTTCTTTCAGCTTTAGCTAGGGTTCGCGAAAAAAACATGATGGGGGCTTCCGCTCCATTTGGTAATACGTGGGCCAGAATTGCCCCAACCCCAAAAAGTGATGCGTCACACGTGATAGTGAGCGGAAGAGTCTCGTTGTACTGCATAAGTACAGAATCAGAAGTTAGCAATTTCTTTACTTGTTGGAAAGCACATTGTTCCCGTTATCCCCAAACCCACGTTGCTTTTTTGTCTAATAGTCTATGCAATGGTTCTGCTACCGTTGCTTTGTTGGATAAAAAGACATTATAGAAATTGATAAGTCCGAGGAACGCCTGTAGGTCTGCCTTGTTCCTTGGAGTGGGGGCCTTTTTAATCGCCCTTAATTTGTCTTCGGTGGGATGGATTCCTTGGCTGTCCAGGAGGTATCCCAAAAATTCTACTTTTTCGGTACATAACTGGCATTTATCTTTTTAAACTCTGAGGCCTGCATTTTGGAATCTTCGTAAAACCTCTCTGAGTCGCTTTTCTAGGATGTCTTTGTTAGGGGCGGCGATGAGTACATCGTCGAAATATGGTACGACCCCTCTGATCCCTTGTAACAACCTTTCCATTAAACTCTGAAAGATTCCGGGGGCAACGCTTACCCCGAACTGGAGCCGGTTGCATTTAAATGCGCCCCTATGCGTTACGATAGTTTGCACTTCTGCCGTGGTAGGATCTACAGGCAATTGCTGATACGCCTGGGCTAGATCTAGTTTAGCGAAAACTTTCCCGCCACCCAGGGAATGGAGCAAGTGTTGCACTACCGGCACTGGATATGCACTTTGCTGTAGTGCGTGGTTTAAGGTGGCCCGGTAGTCTCCGCAAATTCTCAGTGACCCATCAGGCTTGATAGGCGTCACTATAGGGGTTTCCCAGCGGGCGTGGTCGGTGGGTTCCAGCACGCCCTGCGCTATTAGCTTATCGAGTTGTTCGTCGATTTTAGGCTTCAAGGCGAATGGCACCCGACGTGGCTTAAGGCGGATGGGTACTATCTCAGGGTTCAAGTTAAACGAGATCGGGGTCCCCTTGTACTTGCCTAGTCCGTTCGCGAAAACGTCTTGGAATTCTTGCACGAGTGCTTCCTCCCAATCGTTGCTCTCGGCTCGGTGGACTCCCGCTACAGTAATTCCGAGCGGCCTGAACCATTGAAGGCTTAAAAGACTAGGCCTGTCACGGTCCACGACAGTCAGTGGCACAGCGACGGTACGGTCCTTGAAAGAGATCTGGAATCTGCGGGACCCGACGATGGGAATTCGGTTGCCCTGATAGTCTTTGAGTATAACCCTTTGAGGGTTAAGGTCTTGGCGGTGAATCGTTGGAATGAGCTGTTGGAGCGTTTTCCACGACACCATCGAGAGGGAAGATCCCGAGTCTACCTCCATCACACAAGGTTTGTTTTCTATGGCGACCTTTACTCGGATTTTCCCGGCATCAAGGAATGTAGCGTGGCCAATGGTGATTGTTTGGTGGGTCTCTTCACGCCTGGTTTCTTCACGCCTGGTGGAAATGGTGGACGGCTTGTTTCTGTAGGAGTGGTTTCCCCATTGGTGGTTCAGTTTTTCTCGGTGTGTGCTGAAGAATCCTGAAGATTGGCATTTGGCCTGTCGGGGTTTGGAGTTTTGTTTGCTTCTGCAAACCTTTGCGATGTGACCTCGTCTCCCGCAATTTCGGCAGAGTGCGTCGAGGAATTTGCAGTTGGATCGTGGGTGATTTACCCCACATCCTGCACACGGTCGGAATGAGGGTTGTGTGAACTGGTCTCGTTCCGTTCGGATTCGGTTGACCTCTTCCTCATCGCTTTCTGATGGGGATTCTAGGTCTTCGTGGTGAGTCGATACCGAGTGTCTCTCTGAGCGAGGCGAGGTATCATTGGCGAGTTTACGTAGCGGTGGGTTGGTGCGGCGCATTCGGGCTGCCGAGTTCTTGGTCGCCTCCGCTGCCGAGGCTTCTTTAAGGGCATCGTTGAGGCTGATGTCCCCCTTAGCCATAATTTTGCTCTGGATCGTGCCGTCTTCTAGGCCCAGAACCAGGCGGTCCCGGAGGGCTTCTTCTAAGTCGGCAAATCCGCAGAGGCCTCCAAGATTGCGGAGGTCCGCGATGTAATTGGCAAGGCTTTCGCCCTTCCGTTGGTCCCTCTGGTAATATTCGTGTCTTCTGACTAAGGTTGGCACGGTGGGCGTGTAGTGAGCCCGTAGTAAGGGCTCGAGGACGTCCCAGTCCATCTCTTTTACCTCTGCTGGCTTGGCAAGTGACTTTGCCATTTTAAACACGGTAGGCCCGCAGTGAGTTAGAAAGATAGCTCTTTTTTTGCCGGTTGTTGCATCTTTCAAATTGTTGGTCTCCAGAAACATCTGGAACCGGTCCATGTATGCCTCCCAGTCTTCGGTTTCTGGGTTGAATGGAGCGGGTGGTACGGCACCGCTGGCCATGTTGCCGTTGATGGTGCGTGTTCGACCATGTGCTCTGTTGGTTGCTCTGTAACTCAGTCAGCTCTTCGGTCTCCGGATCCCACCTTCGTCGCCAGTGTTAAGTTTGGGAAATAATGGAGACCAGACATCTGACCAGTGACTTCAACTCTTTAATAATCGTAAATAGAACTGAACAGAGCAAGGCTATGGGCAACAGCAACCCTTTTATAGGGTTATCTGCTACCTTATTAACCAATGACATGTGCCATAAGTTCAAACTTATAACCAATGAGAAGTGTCCAAATAGTGGCCAATCAGGGACTACTTATGGACCAATCCCTAGTTGTTGTATAAGGGCCAATCAGGTGTGCAGGTTTCCAAACCCTGATTTGCATTTATGTTAGTAACTTTTATTGATTCACAACACCCTCCTTGTCTGATATTCTAAACCAAGGGTTCCATCAAACATATCCCATCTACATGTGACTCTTGATGAATGTATTTTTTATGTACACTGAGAGCTTATGCACCAAAGACAAATTCCTTGTGTGTCCAGTTACACTGGACAATAAAGAATTCGATTCCGTTCTATTCTATTCTATTCTATTCTATTCTATTCTATTCTATTCTATT